AGTCTGTGGTTTGGTTACAGCTGGCCAGTTCAGTGCCTGAATAAAAAAAAAAAAAAAATAATAGAAAAATACCCAAACCTTTATCTCCTAAGGCCCCCACACTAATGCTTTGCTGAACACTGCAGTCCCCAGCTGAGCTGTAAATGACTTTTTCATTTTCCTAGGCCGGCTACCCGGTCTGTTTGGTATTCAAGGGCACCCCACCAACAGGCACTATCATTCTGCTTGGGCCGAATTACTTGATTAAAACGCATATCAACTATTATGTGATTCGTTTTCTGCCGCTGCTCCACATCACAGCCCTCTAAACTATGTTAAACTGTAATACAGCTGCGCAGGCACGAGCAAATGCTGGAGAATGGGGAGTTTACAGGTTGGAAAGGGGAGGGAGGGGGAAACCCAAGCTTTATTGTATGTGCTGTGTCGATTATTGGTTTTCTTGTGTCTGGGAATGTGCTTGCACAGGGGAAAGGGAGGGGAGAGATGAATTTGAAACACCTCTGTCCCCCTTTGCAGTCCCACCTGTTGTTGAAAAGGTTTGGAGGTGAGCAGGGGTTATTCTGCGCGCATGTACACACCTCTCTCTCATTTTGAACTCAGGACTTCATCATGTTCCAAGAAGAGAGAGAAAAGGACATTCTGGTTTTCATGTTGGAAAGAAAAATCAAGGCAATACAATTCTGTGCTTGTGATGCTGCCACTGTGTCGCCCTTCTCTCAGGCTTTTCATAGTCTTGTTTGCATTTTGATGGGTTTTGTTTGCTTTCTGCCAGAGGGAAAGGCAGATGCTAAGAAGTCAGGGAGAGTTTCAGCTCTTGCTTCTGAAGCCATCGACTGCAGGGTCCAGCACAGGGGACATGCTCTGTGAATAAACAGCTGCATCTTTGTGATCCTTGTTCATCCCACCCATTTGGGGGAGTAGAAGGTGCGAGGTGTGCAGTCCCACCCTTCTTCTCCACAGATGTACTATAGCCGATGTCCATGGCTAGGATCTTGGCTATAACATATCTTATTACTTTAGGCCCTCATGACAAGGTACCCAGAATCGGGAAATATTTTCACCTGTGAGATGGGTACCTCTTCACTGTCTCGTGGCAATGAAGCTCCATTTATTAAGGCAATGGCAGGCAGCAAAAGCTTCACGTGGCAGGTGAAGACTGCCCTTTTCAAGGTCTTTGAGAGACTCGTTAATTGTCCTCCAGCATAAAATAACTTGAAGTTATTTTATGTACCTGAACTTCAGGTACATATGGGACTGGAAAAATGTGCATGCGTATGTTTATGCAGGGGTAGCAGCATGACAGCTTTGGTGGATGGAGAGCATTGTGAAGAAGGGGGGACCTGGTGTGGGCTGTAATGTGGGGTAGCTTGGATCTTGCTGCTACCTTCAAAGTCAGATTTTCTTACTTCTCTCATGCCATTAAATCCAAGTTCCCCTGTGGCTGCATTACCTTCCCGGCCAGTCACCTCCAGATCTGGTTTGGTGGAGCATTGCTGTTGCTCCAGCAGTATGGGTGAGTTTGCTACAGCCAGTTGCAGCACAAAAAGTGCAGTTATAGCTAAGCTATTCACAAAACCATTCCCTTCCCCCTCTTCATCTCTCCCCTCCAACACACATTTAATTTTTAGGATGGTGCAGCTGGAAGCAAGAGAGAAAGAGAGGAAATGAGATGAGAAATACTGAAGGAGAGAATGTGCAGCTCCCCTTTACCCTCTAACAAAATCCGATCCCCACTTTAATGAATGCGTTTTCATGTCTGGTCCTGTCTGCCAATCCTTCCAGACGGCACCAAGGTGCTTCAAGACAAGGCAGCAGGTCCTTGTAGAGCATCAAGGGCTCAGTCTGAGCCTGGAGGGTCTTGTTGTGACCGATTCCACCTAATCCTGTTGATTAATTTAACTTCAGGGCTAAGAGGCGCCCAGAAGCAGTGAATGGAGGTGGAGAGGAGAAAGGCAGAGGGGGAGGAAGGGAAATAGAGGAGTAAAGGGAATGGAGAGAGGGAGGATGCATCCAGTCCATAATTATGGAGGGTTTTTCTTGTTCCTTTCCTCGAGCTCCAGTCTACTTCTATTCCTTTCAAACCTCTCCAAAGAGCTCTGCCCAGCTCTTGCTAATTGTACCCCAACCTGAATCAGCAGCATTATTCAGGAATGCGAGTTTGTGGGCCATAATTTACACATTCTCTCATGCTAGAATGGGTCCCAAGACAAGCCCAGGCTTATATTTGTCACCTTTCCTATGCCATCCTGTACACACACCTGCACACATGCTCTGGCTACACTGATTTCCATGGGGAGAAAACAAACCAGTTTTCCCCAGCTGATGCTCCCTGAAGATGTGGGACTTGACATTGGTCCACACAAACCTTTAGCAAGTCCCTTCACACAGTCGTCTCTCCTCCCTTGCACAAGCCATGTTGTATCTCTGCTTCAAGAAGGTGCCTGTACATTTGAATAGCCCCCTCTGAGCAGAGGGAAGAGCTTCTGAATTTTCACACTGGCATACTTGCTTTCATTCCCATAATGAAGCCTATGTCTCTTTATTTCTAAGAGTATTGTGAAACAAAGAGATTTGAGCAGCTAGGGATTTTTCTTTCTGAGCTACAGAGCAGTTACACTAAATAATAAAAATAGAATCGCCGTAAAAAAAAAATACAGTTGGAACAGTGTGCGTATCCTGTCATACACATACTTTTTTCTGAGTTTTTCCTTTTCTCTGACTTGTCCTCCCATGAGATTTTCCCCTCCATTCACCTATCCATTCTGTTCTTTTCTGTCAATCTTGAGCCAGTATGATATCCTAGGGGTGCTGCGTATCGGACAGCTAGCTGTTTCCCATCCTTCATCGCAACTAGTGATTGGTAAGCCACACAAGAAGCTGCTGCTAGATATTTCTCCACCTTAGTATTTACAGGGTGTTCACTGCTGTCTGTGCTGAGTAAGTGTAAAATGCTACCAGCACATGCGAATGATTATTTCTATGGCAATAGCCCTGTTGTGCTGGAGGCTGCAAACTAGGATTCTCCCCCTGCTCATGCTGCTGGCAGTGCCATGCATCCATTTTTTGTGCAGGGATGTGGGGCAAAAAAATGAGGTGTTCAACCTTTGGATGAATCCCCCTGGACTTGCCTAGCAGAGGAGTCTCCTTGAGTTACTCCCACGGCTTTGTAAAACTTCTCATTGCACAGAAACTTTGCAGAGATTATGGCAGTGGTTTGTCTAGCAGGTTTCAGCTGCTTGTGAATGGAGGAGACCTGTTAGATCCTTGAGTTGCATCTTAGGCAGGTAAGGGAGGCTCTCCCCTGATAACAGGGGATGCATTAGATAATAGGCTCGTAGTGCAGTCTGTCTCAGCTGAAAGACTTTCTATATTATTTAATGAATCTGTGTCTGACAGCAGCAGCTGCATCGTACAAAGACCAGCTGGTTCCAGACATACCCTGGGATTTTTCTTGCTCTCTTGGTTTCATCTTTGTAGTCGGGTTGTTGGAGCCTTGGACTTGGCACAAAGAGCTGTGGCTTCTTTTCCCAGCTTTGCTCCTGACTCACAGAGTGACCGTAGGTGGATGACTTCCGCCATCCCTGCCACGGTTGTAAAATGGAAATAATGCCAGTTGGGAGCTGTTTGGAGACTTGTGGATAGAAAGTGTTACGTCAGTTTATGTGGCAAGGTTTGGCTCTGTACCTTTTTAACCCTGTAGCCAGCGCATTACAGATCCTCTTGTAGACTTCTTTTCCTCACTTGGGGAGATACTGGGTCCAGGTTTGTCGTATACAGTGTAGGCACTTGGACCAAGCAAGTAGATGAGCTGTAGGTAGATGGTACAGCACTGCTATCAAGTGGGCAGGAGAAGATCTTAAAAAAAAAAAAGAAGCCATTTTGACATTGGTGTCACCATAGTACTCGCCAAGCAGGTTGGGGCTTTGTTGCATGAGGTATGAAACATGCTGCAAATGCCAATTTCTGTGCTAAAGAGCTCGCAGACTGGAAGTTGCTACTAAGCATGTGTACTAGCTATATAGAAATGAATATAATACTATAAAGAAATATGCTCAGCTGCAGAGTTAAATGATGTTTAACTTAGTATATTTTCCGTCCCCTTCCTCACAGTGGCACTCTCACATCCAGGACCAAAACACACCTCCATCCTTATTTTTTTCATATCAGATATTTCCAGAAAGGATACTAACTAATTAAACCAATAATAGTCGGTGACTTAAGTGATTAACTTAAAGAAATTTACTGTATGCTATAGGTTTCCAGATGTGCTTTTGCACAGCATGATACTCCAAGGTCCAGATGTGCTTCTGCTTGCCCCGAATCATCTGGGACCCAGATGTGGAGGGCTGTTATTTTCAAGTACAGATGTTCCTTTTACACCACTTGAGACTCTAGACCTTTCCTGAAAATGGACATAACCAAAAAGCTAGTTTACTAACAAATTTCTGCCTTATATCGTGAAACTGTCTTTAAAATGTGGGACAGATGCTGCTCCTCTGAAATAAAAAAGTGAATTTCTCACTGACTTCATTGAGAAATAAAAGGTTCTTGATTTAAAAAGATGAACATGTGTAAAGACCTGGTGTATTGGTAAGCCAGAGCTAGAAGAAGGGTCTTGAGGTGATGTTTTCCCAAAAACAAGCCACCCACTCCTCTGCAGCAGAGTTTCTCTGACTCCAGCACAACTGTAGTTAGCTGAGTTCCAACACCGCATCCTCCCCGTGAAGCCCCAAGACATAAAAGCATTTTTGTATTGCAGCAAGCTGAGTGCAATGGCATTTTGTGGTGATCTCAGTATAAACAAGTGAGCTCCGATGAGATATTGGCCTCGTACTCCTCAAACTGCTGCCGTTCTCGAGCAGCTGTTGGGGAAGTCACAGCTGCCATTCCCAGCTCTGAAAAGAAAAAGGCAGATTTTTGGATGATGATAGTATAGGAGCTGAACAAAAAGAGAGGACTGAAAAACAGTATTAGTAACTTTAGGGAACTTTATCGTCAAGATGAGCATATGTAAGTCCTGCGTCTAATCCTAAATTAGCAAAGGTTTAGCCAAAAGAAAAAACATTTCTCTGCAAGCACTGTTTAAGCAGATTCTGGCTCTCAGCCTGCTGTGCAGTTATTCTGAAAGATAGCAGTCAAACCTGCTAGGGAAGAAAAATGAGCACATATTTAAGGAGTCTTCTGTTTTCATGAGAGAGAAGGAAAAGGTGACAGAGGCCAGATCTCTCACCTAGCTGAAAGGTTTCATATATCATATTCTTCCTTCTCTGCTGCCATGAACCAGTGGCACATTTTTCAATGTCGCAAAGGCAGACATAAAGTTTGGGCCTGGTTGAGATCCTCCATACGTCAACATCTGCACCACAGGGAACCTGCACATCGCACATCTTTGAAACCCAAGCTTTGCTCCATGAGAGGCCTCTGGCAAACATGAGACTCACAGGCAATGCTGTTCTCGGTCTGTCCCCTCTAAAACCCACTGGGTCTGACTGTAGACTTGGTGAATATCAATGTGATGCTTTCTGCTCTACCTCCAGGCAAAAAAAAAAATAAAAAAAAAAAATCAAAACTGGGCTTACTTATCCCAGCTATACTTACTTGGGTTTGGTATAGGCCTCAGGAGGCAATAGATGTGGTCCAGGGCTCAAGGCAGGGAGAAAGGAAAGGCAGAGGTCCAGGGCAAGTGAGGTGGAGGAAGTGATCAATTAGGACTTTCATGGCATCCTAATGCTGTAGAAGTCTGGCTTTGTGCAAAATCTGAAACTTGGGAAGTTAAGAGGAACCATATCCTGCGGGCAGCCCAACCTACAGGTGATGTGGAGTTGGAAAGGTTTTTTTCCCAGCACTAAAAATTCCTAATATTTCTTTTTTTTTTTTCTTCCTGAGGTGGTTTAAAAAAATTGAACTCTCAAACACTGATACCTGACAAAATGCAAGAGGAAATTAGGCTGCACTAGTCAAAGCATCATGTATTGAATTTTTTAGGTGCTCATTTCAGCTTCTACACCTTTTCAGTGTAAAATGTGCAACTCACAGTCATTTCTAATAAACCCTGGCAATTTCTTGAAATAAGTCAACAACTGTAAGTTCTTTCACTGTAACAGTTTGAATAGTGGACTTTGAACCATCCCTTTCCTGCAAAGAGTTCTGATTTTAATAGGTTATTTTTTTACAATGTGGAAAAAATAATAGTAGGAAACTACAGAAATAGCGTAAAACTGGTAGATGTATTGTACGTGGACAGAGTATTTGTTTTGATGGACACCATCACAGTAGAACCGAAATTACTTCACTGGGCTGCTTACCTCTTCCATCCAGCCTTTCTCCCTCTGGTTTTTAACCACACAAGCCTCATCTCCCACTTTTTTCCCACCCCAGGTAACAGGCTGGACGAAGGCTCCGATGTCGAATCCGAACCAGACCTGCCTTTGAAGCGCAAGCAACGCCGCAGTCGAACCACTTTCACCGCTGAGCAGCTGGAGGAGCTGGAGAAGGCCTTTGAGAGAACCCACTACCCAGACATCTACACACGAGAGGAGCTAGCTCAGAGAACCAAGCTCACCGAGGCCCGAGTTCAGGTAAGGACTAGAGCCAGCGCGAGTCAGCCTGGTGACTCAGCTTCTTGTTTACCTTGGGGAAGGAGATGGCAGGGCTGGGGCTGAGGGTGTTGAGAGGTGGTAATGTGGATGTGCCTCCTCTTTGGGGCCACATTCAGAAGGATCTGAGACTTAAAGCCAGTTCTGCAGATTCCCACGTTCCCATGGATTTGCAGATATGCCTTTTGGATTTGGCCCGTTGCAGAGGTACCAGCTGGAGGGTTTCCATCCAGGTTGGGACCAGGAGCCAAACTTTCCCTAACTTGGCAAGGCATTTAGCTCTCTGTTTTCTGGTGGAGGAAATTCCTCCGTTTGCCTAGGAGGGAAGCAGTGTGTGTGCATGTTTGTATTTGGTGTTTTAGGAGAAATCACACCATTTACCAACCTTGCCCAGGGGAGCAGATCATATTTTGCAAAGTTTGCAAGTTCTGTGTGTGAATTTTCATAAAACTTTTTTTCCCTCGATCTCCAGAGAGTACAAAAAGGGCGGGGGGAGGGAAGAAGAGGGGAGGAGCAGGAAGGGAGGGTTTGGAGCTGGGGGATTCTGACATCTACACGATTAATAGCCCTTGTGGGAACTCCACACAGAGACCCTTATGTCTTCCAGATAAAGGCTGGGTCAGCAGTGTGTGCAAACACGCAGAGGGATAAGGAGTGTGAACAGATCGGGGGGTATAATAGAGTCCCTTGGGGAAAGGGAAGGAAAGGGGGAGGGATCGGGGATTGTGCTAGGTTAAAGAAGTGAAATGGAGACCCCAGCAGTCCGTCCTCCGTGCGGCCAGTGTGATTAGGTTTCAGGCTAAGCACAGGGGTCTCTGCACGCAGCCGAGAGTTGAATTGCCGGCACTGAGAGAGGAGG